AAAACACGCGGGCAATCAATAATAAATATAAATATATTTGTATATGTATAGTCATCTATATAGGCTAGTCAGGATATGATCCATATGTAAGTTCTCACAGAAGAAAGACGAAAGCACAAGACGATTAGTGAACTATAAGATTTTCCTCACATGAATATGGTTATGATGAATGAAGGACTTGGTTGTATGTACAATATGGTTCAAAAATTGTAGAAGTAGTGTTGGAATATGAACGGATGATGATGAAAAGATGAACGAACGAGGAAAGGCTAAGGTGAGTGGAAAAGGCTAGTTGCCGGAGAGGATACGGGCCAAACTAGCGCTGGGAGATGGAGTCAGAAGCCTTGGGATGGCCCGAATACGTTCATCACATCCATCTTCAACACGAACGGGATCACCGTCTCGATTGAAAGGTTCCCTATTAGACCGGAAAAGAACAGCTCGACGAGCACCGATTCGCGGAACCATCGCAGATTCGGCAGCAGCTGTAGTAATCGGGAGTACCTGAATGAACAGCTGATAAGCTGATATCAACAACAGATGAAGCACTGGATGAATACCTCTCGATCGCTTTGCGTCACCGAGTCGCCGTCACGTGGGTCTCATTGTCTTCAGAAGTCGAATCATCGTTCGACGACGACGCCATCACATGCTCGTACAGCTCCTGGCAGGCGGTCACGTTCAGGGGTCGTGTGTCACTGGCACACGTTGATGTCGGAATTCTGCAAGAAAGTGTTGAGCAGTTGCTATACCAACCACGGGGACAAACTCTAAGACTCAGGCAGAGAACTCCGAGGTGCAACGAAAAGGCTTACGCACCTAAGAGCTTTTTCCTCCTCAACCTAATGCCTAGCCCCCTTTGAATAACATTTTTTACGTGGTTTTGATTGCATTGCTACCGCAATGCCTATATTGTGATAGCGCCTTTGAGCAGAGCTACGAAAGGACAGAATGGGTAAGGAACTAACCATTTGAAGTGAACGAGACGAGTTTGAGGTAGGCGAACTCCATTGGGCTGAGCTTCGCCTCAGCGAAACGGTTCACCAAAAGCAGTAGGAAGTTGATCTGCTGGCTGACCTCCTCGAACTTGTCGGGCTTTAATTGTCCTGTAAACAAAGGCTGAATTGGTAGTATCGGCTTCAGCACAAAATCAAACTGTAGGAAATGTGAAATACAGGGAACAAGGTATCAATAGAATCCTTTTTTTTTCAAGATGATTTATTTCTTTACTGATTGCGTAAAGGAAACGACATCACGCCCACAGTAACACTTTACCTACCTGAAGCTGGACATTCTTGCGATTGACATGAGCAAAGAAAAGGAAATGAAGGTACCTTTTCCGACCCAAAGGTCCAGTCCCTACCATCCATTCAAATTTTCGTTCAACAAGATTCCTATTTGAGATATTTTGATCCGTTATAAATGCCAGTCCAGGAATTATCAGGAACCCACGGTTCACTTCACCTTCAGAATGTTAAGCATTATAATGTTTTTCTATATTCGCAGTTTTTTTGGTATACGAGGAACATCTACTAGGACTCAGGATCTTATTTCCACACAGGAGGCTTTCTTCCGCTCACCTCCCTGCGTCGTTCTATCTGTTTCATCTCCATAGGTGTGGTACCAGGTGTCCAGGATAATACCTCTACTCCTTTTGAAAGCCATAGAGGCCTTTTAGTTACCGGTAAGAATTTGATGTGCCCTCACAATATGATCTGGTTTCACAGAGTTGAGCCAATTATCGGCTGAGCGGGTTTCCATCAATTAGGGAATGGTGGAAAGGTATTGTGGAAAATGAACTATATACTCAATTGGAACAGGTTTTTCCAGACCAAGCAAAGCCTGATGAACTTCTCTTAATGGTAACGCCATTATCAAAAAAATAAGGCTAGTAGAGTTGAATTTTTTTAAATCCTCGAGAGTTATTCGAAGCTAAACTTTGAGAACTCAGATAAGTTCAGTACCGGTCGTCAATCAGGAATATTCTAGAATTTTATCGCCGGAATTGTTCTGAAAATGTCTTAGTTGAACCTGACAACAAATGAACTAAACTGGCAGTACCAGTTCGGGATCCCTATCGAAATGATCTACTGGAGGAGCTCTGCGGAGAAAAATATTGAAGTTTTTTTTGCAAGAAAAATGCTGTAATTCACTGATGACCACTCCGACTTTCGAACTTTCCAGAGATACGAAAATTCAAAGATGAATGCATAAAGAGGGTGAAGCATTCAGCGTTGATCAAGTTCTTTTTGAAATGCGCCACGCGCTCTATTCCCATCAGAATCGGATGACACCATGGAAGCAAATTGGCCTAAAAAATAGCTTGCGATGGCCAGACAATGTGAGAATAAGTGTCTTTATTCTGCTAGACATGCCTGGTACGAAAT